TCGTGGAGGATTCATACTCACATTCTGTAATTTTCTGGTTGAAATTTGTATTCCCTCAACTCATATGAGGTTCTAATTCGTGTGATTTACTTCCAGATACAGTCTAAATTTGGGAGCTAATGATGCTACCTGGCTACTGGGTTCGAACCCGTTACTTAATGTCTGCAAGTCAAACACCTTTATCAATAAGCAATCGCTTTTAAACACAGTCACTACATTTCTTATACATTTTTTAAGGTTCGTTTATACAATAGATGTTGTTAGAAAGGACTGCGACATAGGGTAATATGGATGTAATAAAGTAATTGATGTACTATTTCAAGCAAGTGACTTTCGATCATACATCTGAATTTCAGTCCATACGGGTTCTTTGTATAATTAATTTAAAACGACACCCACCATATAAACTTTTTATGTCGTTTTCTTCCTGTAATGAAAACCATCAACACAGTATCTCAGCAATATTGATTCGAAGTCGATATTTTCCTTCAGTACCACAGTCACAGATTGAATCATTGAGTTACTTTGAAGTATGCATTCATTCTAACGGAATTATATGCTCGATTACAAGATGATTGTTTATAGCAATGAGATAACGTTTAAAACACTTAACTTTCAATCAATCTGTATGACTAATTTGATTCTAAGCAGTCAGATAGTATCACGTTAGCTCTCATACAAATAACCTTCAATTAATTAGTAATTTAAATTATTTGTTTATTGTGTTATAACTGGACGTTTATTCTAACTGGATACCATATTAGAGCAGTTGGATACAACATGAAATTCTTTTCTATCCCATTATCGATTAGTTCAGATTAAAATCCTCCTTCTCATTTTCCTCATCATCATCATTATCCTACTGATTCTATACATTCTGATTATTCCAGTCACTGTAACCATTTATAATCCTTTCAATTTTTATTTGTTTTATTCATTGATTACAGATTCAGTATTTCTAAGAACAATTGGATTTGTTTGGAAAGTATTAGCTATCACTGGTGTCAGTTGTATACCAATATTAATATTGAAATTCATTCATTATAAATTTAGACCATCGATTTATTCAAAACTGCAATAAAATGCTATTTTCTTGTATTGAATGAATTCATCCCTACACACACACACACACACACACACCCAGACATTCAAACACATTTATCCATTGAATTCTCTATAACTGGCAAATGAACTAGATTTTCACAAACTTTTTTTTTAATGTCATTCATTTACTACTTAAATTTTGTTATTTTTATGTAACTTTTTATTTTTCAACTCATGTTCTGTGATGAATAACGGGGATTTGAGATGGTATTGATGATGATCGTGATGATGATGATGTACAACCCTGACATGCCTAAATTGTAAACACTGTGATCTTTTATACACCATCGTCCATATCTTTATTACTATCTATGTGTAAACCTAAAATCAATTACATATTTTCCTTTTTTTTTCTTTTCTTTGTTGTAACTTTCTTTTTCAAACTTGTGATTGATTTTTTTATCAGAGAATAAATGAGACAATATTTGTTTATCGACATAAGTACAATCTCGTCTCTTTTTTCTCTTTCGTAGAACTGGCATGTATCTATGCGAACAATTTAACGCTGAAAAATATAGTCGAACAAGAGTTTAACAATTATTCGTCAAGACTGATTAAGTATTGATCGTTATTGTTGTTACTGCCACAGATCCTACACACTACTACTACTACTATCACTAGTAGTAGTGGTCGTACTACCTATGCTACTGTTATCAAATAAAAACACACACAAAGTGATTACGATGCCTGTATGTATGTGTGAGATGCACACTATTTGATTCTTATCTATCTAATGTGATCATTTTTTTTTAAAATTCATGTTGTTTCTTGATCTTTGAATAAGTTGTGTGCTATTCATTTCGCTTCTTTTTTTCTTTTAGAAAAAAAAGAAAGAAAACCTTTTATTTATTGTCATTGTAATTTCTTGTTGAATAAATTCATTATTGATGTGCACCACATGTTTTGGCATCCAAACCGATCATTATCATAGTTATTGTCAAAATTGTATATTATGTATGTATGTGTGTTTGTTTGTATGTATGTATGTATGGATGGATGGATGTACACATTGTCTTCATTCACACTTTCTACTCATTAAATTGGGTCAATTGTCATTTATGATATTGTATTGGTTATATACATTTATGGAAAACACATTTTAGTTATCATAGTAACATAGTAGTAGTATAACTGATAAATATAAACCAATATAGTGTCACAGAGATAGGAGGAGTTCAAATTACGTTAATATACTTCTTAAAAGTTTGTAAAAGAGGAAATCAACGCTATGAGGACGTTTTTATCAATAATAGAGAAGTTAGGATATGAGTAATCTTTATTAGTGCTCAATTATGATCGTATTTCACCATGTTAAAGTTATATCCAGCTAAGGTAATGGATATATTGTATCATAATGTTTACAATTGAAAAGCATATCTCATAAAAGCTATCTAATCGAAATCTATCGGTTGTGTCATTGATTATAGTGAACTATCATCATAGCTTGTAACTTTAAATGGTCTTAATCAAACTCCTCACTTTATTTATTTTGAATAAATTTCATCGAAGTTGCATCCCAATGTTGCATAGATCACACTCTTTAGTCATTGATAAAATGCAAAGTATTCTGAATCCCCTCAGTAATCATGTAGACTTGTTTAGGATGCGTCTTTTTCTTTCTAAATATAAAGTACTGTTTCTGAACTTGTCTGCTTCAAGCCCTAGTTTGGGTATAGGAAATGAAGTTGACTTGACCTATTTTAAGAGCCTGATTGACTTGTTTTGGTTAGTAGGTTAACACAATTTTCACATAGATTTAAAGGGCTCATTTGTCTTTTAGCCAACTAATTCATCCATATTATTGGCCAGATATTATACATTCAATTTAATTTAATTGAACGCACAAATACTGGTAGAAAGGAGCACAGAATACATATGTACCTCACAAGTTACTTGATTTGTGTGTGGGCTGTGATACTGCCTGGGTGCCCGGACCGAAGCAGGTAGTTTTCCTAGAGGGCCACACCTGCAGCCTTCGACCTAATGGTCGGATCCACAAGGCAGCAGAGCAACGTAAGGAAATGCAGTCTCATGATAACCGGTGATCAACAATAGGTTCGTACACCATTTGTTTGGAATGAGGGTTTTGCAACTCCTCTAGGTGGATCCTCCGTGTCCACCAACCCAGTTAAAGCGTCGGACATTCGCTTTTCGTCTTCTCAATTTCGTAAACAACAGTAATGTCGCGATAAGGGAGTGAATAGGACTTCCCTGTCAGTGGCTATATATGCGCTGGCATATTTAAGCATTTGGAGAGGAAGAGTGCTCTCCGTACCCTCGGTCGTACCAGGGCATTCGGTTTTTTTTTCCGCGTCGGGAGTCGAACCCGGGCCTCCTAAATAAATGCCAGGAATCCTAACTCCTAGACTTAGCTGGACTTTGATGATAATCAACCAGAAAATTAGAAAACGCTGAAAGTGATTAAATCTAAGCACTTACTGTCATTTTGATCATTGATTTCTAGCATCAATATGCGTAACTCCAATCATGAAATCCTCATGATTTTGGTCGAGTTTGTATCTAAACAATAATTTACATTGATAGCTATAAACCTGTTTATAATTCTTCTGGACATCATCATATTTGGATTCAAGTAAACATTTATTAATAACGTTAGTGGTTGATACCAAAGTATCACTTACTCGGTGCTTATCGATTAATTTTTTTCATAAAATACGACTAACCACTTATATTTTAATAGAGCTTTAGGAGTATTGGTATATATCTGATAATTGTTTTGTGAATCTTGTACTACTTGTCATAATCCAGTAGTATGAAAATTTACTCAAAATATTTAGATCATTTTTCTTAAGCAACTACTTGTAACCACTTCTAAATAGTTTTTTATCTGTTTCGTAAAGTATAAACGTTATAAATATATGATTATACTGACAATTGAGTTTTTCGATGTAAAGTCTAGGGACCGTTCATTTGACGAGTTCCAAATAGAACGAAATGCGAATCTTGAATTCTACTTCTAGCCACTATCCATCTTTGCTTTAAAAGCTTGTGACTTGAGGCAATATAGAAGCAGTCCTTACAGGATGCACATGTGCATACATTATGCGGAGCAAATGCAGTCTTAAATAACAATTTCAAGATGCAAGTAAACAACAAGTGAATTTAACCCATGTTTGTTCCTATTTATGTGACTGCTTTTTTTCAGGGTACAAGTGTTTTGATTTACTGTTGACCGATTTTCTCCTAACCTGATTAATTGGTGGGCCGATCGGCTTTATAGTTGTTTAAAACTGAGATTACGGAATGAACTGCTTGTTTTTTTAATATGTTGGACGGTTGCTCGATTTCATGGATTGGTTGAACTTGAACATTAACACCGTTGAATGCCGGCTGAGTGGTCTAGAGGTTAAGCGTTCAGGCGCGAGACTGATAGGTCCTGGGCTTGAATCTTGCGGGGCGGGATCGTGGATACGTACCGTTTTTATAACGACTGATCCGCCTATTAGATAGCAGCCTATTATCGATCGAAACAGTGACGCATAAAATACGTACGAGCAGCCTAGAGTTCTGATTGGCCCTGCTTCCCTGTCTAGCCCAGCCAGTTGAATCCAGAACAAAAGTCCCAGCCTCGGTGATATGAATCATTATATTTCAAACATACTCTGTGTATATAGCAATCAAACAGACCACAACGTACCACAAAATAGAAAATAACATTTGTAAAAGGTTTAATCTTCAGGAAATGACACAAATAAATATTGACCAATAGGGAAATGACACGTTGGAAGAATGTTGACCAATGGGGGAATGACACTATTTCTCATTCAGGAATAGCATTAGATAATTTCTGGGGTATTTTCTGAATACCCCAACAACCGTTGAGGAGTCCCGTACCGGGACGAAACGGCCGTCCAGTGCTTCTAGGTTTTCCATGATGGTCTAGCTTCAATTAACTCATGAAATCAACCATAAAACCACTTAAATCTCCACAAAATCCCCTTCTATTAATATGTACTTACTAATTCTCAAATTTTTGGCCGAAAAGTCTGGCTTTTTTTTCAACTTTGAGACATATACTGTAAATATGAAGTTAGATTCTTAACAATTCGAAACCCTACAGTACGATAACAAGAAAAGTACTTCAGGATACATTTTCAGAGTTTATATCTGTTATTTGACATTGACAAAGTAAATTTATACTTGGGCATAGTCATTTGAACGTCCACATTTAATAAATAATATAATTTTTTATATTCACCTTATGTTTTGATAAAAACATCCAACTTGTGTGGCTTCTCATGCTTACCCGACTTCCAGAATCAATATTTGACTGACTATTAATGAACTGGATTCGAAAAAACTATCTCTACCGTCAGTCGGAGCGAAATATTTGAAATAAGGAGGCGGCTGTAATACACATACCTACGACTTCACGACCGTAAACTAAATTTACGACTTTCAGTTTTTTATGAAAACTATAAATTTCTAGACAACCAAGACGGGATCCGGTGGTGTATATATCTAACTTTTAGGTGGAGTTTTGTTCTCTGAGCTGGATGGTTTATTTGTGCAGCTTTCATTGTTCTTCTGAACAACATCACTAGGAAAAACTTCAGATAGAAGTGAAGTGTTTGAATTCCTCCACATATAACTTACAGCTTGTCTTGTATACCTTAATCTTGATTAATTATTGTTAACCTTTACCCGTCATTATGTACCTGTTTATTTTGATTGCCACCCTCTCAAAATCGTAGCTCATTTGCATACTTTGATATGAATACATACATTTGACTAATTATACTTTGGAAGTGCGGATTATTCATCTTAATCCTTTTCTTTTAAGTTCGTATCTTTATATCATAAAATCTACGTCATTTTGATTTCTACAAGTCATTAATTGAATAGATTTTGGACTCTGTTAGTCAATAAAATTACAATAAACAGTCATTGAGAAATACTGTAATGTTTTGTCTCCTGTTTTATTAGTCATGTATTTATCTAATTGCATTATATGTCCACTTTGAAGCAAGATATATCACCCATTGTGCTTAGTACTTTGCTCCGCCAAGTCGATGATAGAAAAATCCACCCAACTAGCAAATTGGGTGAAACCATTGTTAAGAACGTTAGATCCACAGAACTCACATGGAAAATCTAATTTTGTAATTTTATTCTGGAAATTTGAATTTTATGTTTTCGCGCTAAGAGACGCTTAGTTGACCTACAGCTTGCATTTCCTACTCGGAAATCCTTGACTGTCATTGGTTGACGGATTTTTTTAGTACGCCATTTTGTGGCTCTCCTAAGGGCATTTCTATCATTGTATAAATAAGCTTGATCTGTGTGCTTATTGAACTCGGGTGCTTGTAGAATACATTCTCTACACCTGATCAAGACAATGGATTAGAATAGTCTATCGTGTCACTGTGTCTTTGACCTTCGTTCCGCTTACCGAGTAAGGTGAACTCGTAATAGTATTCAAGCATGTCAACTACAATTTATGGATGACGTTTGAGCAACGCCAAAGTGGCCTTGAGAATGTCCACTAGAGCTAAATAAGAGTTTAAAACTTGTATGGAGGATAAGGATTGTGATATAAATTAGGGATAGGGATTAGATTAATAGTTTTCATCACAAACTGATACAAGCTAAGATACCAAGACGCTATTTAGCCCAAAGGATAAAGAATTTCACACGGAAATCCGGGACGTGTTATCATAAATCTGATTGATTCTTCCATCAATGATAGTCTCACCGAAATTATTTACTGTTCTATAATTATTCTGCATAATGAGCAATATGTCATAATTCTATGTTGGTACTGGTTAATCCAATCGGTTTTCTCTTTTTTTGTTTTTAAATACGTCCGTTACTTTATTACATTGATATCTTGGTAACTGTTAACCATCTTCTCTGAATACAGAGAAAGTTGAATAGAAGACATCAATAAACATCACAGTTATGTTACTTTACTCAGTATTATAATGATTATGTAAAATCTCATATAAACAACATTGACATGTACACATCATTACACACACCCAACTTTCTTTGTTTGTTTCTTTATTACAATAGTTGCCTTGTTACTTAAGTTGTTAAATAGAATGTATATTACAAACATTCACACACACACACACACAGAGAGAGATACATATGAGCACATATTTAGAAAGTAATAACTATCTAATACTTTAGTAAAGTAACTATAATAATAGAATTTAATGATGTTTTATCATAAATAAATATGGCATTCGACATTTTTGTTAGAACTAGAATTCGCCTTTTATTTATTATTGGTTTAATAAAATAACATCAAATCAATAGCCATATATGGTTGTTAAGTGAGACAATAAATATAAACTATAGTATGGTGTAATTAGTTATTGTAGAAACTCATCACAACATCCTCCAGTTTAAAAAATACTAATCTTTTGACGTTACTTTTCCTAATTCAATTGATTTTTACAAAATGGCAGAAGAGGAAATAAGTGCACTTGTAATTGATAATGGATCTGGTATGTGTAAAGCTGGATTCGCTGGTGATGATGCACCAAGAGCTGTATTCCCATCAATTGTTGGTCGTCCAAGACATCAAGGTGTTATGGTTGGTATGGGACAAAAAGATAGTTATGTTGGTGATGAAGCACAATCGAAAAGAGGTATTTTAACTTTGAAATATCCTATTGAACATGGAATTGTTTCTAATTGGGATGATATGGAAAAAATATGGCATCATACATTTTATAATGAATTACGTGTAGCTCCAGAAGAACATCCTGTTCTACTTACTGAAGCACCAATGAATCCTAAGGCAAATCGTGAAAAAATGACACAGATTATGTTTGAAACATTTAACAGTCCAGCTATGTATGTTGCTATTCAGGCAGTTTTATCTTTGTATGCATCTGGTCGTACTACGGGTATAGTATTGGATTCGGGTGATGGTGTAAGTCATACTGTTCCTATTTATGAAGGTTATGCACTACCACATGCAATACTTCGTCTTGATTTGGCTGGTCGTGATTTAACTGATTATCTTATGAAAATACTAACCGAACGTGGTCATTCTTTTACTACTACTGCTGAACGTGAAATTGTTCGTGATATCAAAGAAAAATTGTGTTATGTTGCCTTAGATTTCGATCAAGAAATGGGTACTGCTTCACATAGTTCATCACTTGAGAAAAGTTATGAATTACCTGATGGTCAAGTGATTACAATTGGTAATGAACGTTTTCGATGCCCTGAAGCAATGTTACAACCAAGTTTCTTAGGTATGGAATGTTCCGGTATACATGAGACAACATATAGTTCAATTATGAAATGTGATGTTGATATTCGTAAAGATCTTTATTCAAATATTGTTCTATCTGGTGGTTCTACCATGTTTCCTGGTATTTCAGATCGTATGCAAAAAGAAATTTGTAATTTAGCACCAACAACAATGAAAATTAAAATTGTAGCACCACCTGAACGTAAATATTCTGTATGGATTGGTGGGTCTATATTAGCTTCATTATCAACATTTAATCAAATGTGGATCACAAAACAAGAATATGATGAATCTGGTCCAGGTATTGTACATCGTAAATGTTTCTAATTTAACTTTATAATTGTATATTTTATTTTATTTGTTATTTTTTTTGTTCTTACTTTTTCTTCTTTCATATGGAACATTATCATTAATCCTGTCTAAATGATCATGATTTGTTTGTCACTAATTGTTTATTAGTTATAAACCTTTTTTGTTTCTTTACGATTAAAATTCTTTCTAAAAGATTATTGTCTTTTGTTGTTGTTGTTGTTCTTGGTGGTGGTGGTAGTAGTAGTAGTAGGAGTAGTAGTGGTAGTGGTGGTTATTTATTTATTTGAACACATAAATATTGGTACAAGGGGGCACCAGGTATATATGCGCCACACGCTTGTGGTGGTGGTGGTGGTGTTTTAAATCCTACGTTCATATCATAAGAGTTAATTAATGTCCCTTTGTTAAACTATCTTCAAACATTTTCCTCATTCGAATATAATTAAAAGATCAATCAAACTTTATTATTGCATACTTAAGTTAATTTATTATTATTATGACTATCTTTTTTATAAAAAGTAGCTGGTAGAAGAGAAAATTGTTTTTAGTTATTTTTAAATGGTTTATCTACTCTGAGATGCAAGTACATCCAGCTGACGAGTCTCAAATAAGACGAAACGCGCGTTCTGAATTCCACTGCTAGCCACTATCCATCTTTGCATCTATCTAATTTAAGTTAAGTTGGTATGGTCTTTTATTTCTAGAATTAACAACAACAACGGCAACATGATAATTATGAGCTTAAACGTAGTACTGTACTAATGTGATGATGATTTGAAGTATTTGAATTATTGTATAAACTAGGAATCGTAAACAAGAACTAATAGATGAGCACGAATGAACGAACATATTGTATTTGGAATTTGAAGTGTAGTATCAACGAATTATTAGTTTATACAAACACTACAGTTAATCTATAGATTGTTCATCTTTGATCATTACCTTTACTGAAAACAGAACTAAAAAATTTTATTTCATACCGATTAAACATAAATTATTGAAGTTAAATTACATATTATATAAGGTAAAAAAATATTAATAGTTTAGATCATGAGTCATTTGAAGCTAGACCATCGTAGTAAACCTGGACGCATTCAACGGCCATTTCGTCCTATTGTAGCACTCCTCCTCAACAGAACGTATCCACGATCTCGCCACACTGAATCCGAACTCAGGACCTATCGGTCTCGCACGCGAACACTTAACCACTGAGCTGGCATCCAACGATGTTAATGTTTAACTTCAACCAATCCACAAAATTAAGCGACAAATTCACCATTGTCTTCAATGAGTTACTATTCCACAACAGACCTGGTTGAAGTCTATTGGTCACTGCTTCTTTCTAGAACCCCAGGAAATATGTCTTGGAGACCGTCACTAGTAAGCATATGGTATCTATAAGCAGAGAGAGTTTTTGTGGATATTATAGTAATTTCAATAGATGAGATCACGAATCGTTTGAAGCTAGACCATCATGGAGAACCTGCAAGCACTGAACGACCGTTTCGTCCTAGTATGAGACTCCTCCTTGGCAATGTGTATCTACGATCTCGCCTCGCGATATTTGAATCCAGGATCTATCGGTCTCGCACGCGAATGCCTAACTCGTAGATCAATGAGCCGGCTTCCGGCATCAAACATTATAACCTAATATCTTGATTTGTAGTGTATATTGTTTAAAAGATTTTGATTCATTGATAATTGAATAAGATTTTATTTAGTAAATCTATTACTGAAAATAATATTTCTTCGGTCTATTTATCTTTTTCTAAATGTCTAAATGAGAATTTTGCACTTTACTAAAACTATTTAACCATACAAACATTGGTACAAAGAAGCATCAAATAGATATGCGTCATATAAATTATTCGATTTCTGTGAGGACTGGTTTACTGCTTGGGTGCTCGAACCGAAGCAGAATCGCTTAATAAAATCTAAAGGAATCATACAATAAATAGTTCATTAACAAAATGTCAATCAATCGCCTCAGACTTGATTGTTCCTTCACTTACATACCAATTTCTTTCTGTCCCCTTTTTTTTCCTTTTCGACTTTCTCCTGCCAGACATTGTATTTCTGATTAGCGTTATATATTACTTATGTATATATAAGTAACACACACACACCACAATATCAGTTTCTAATACGTTATGAATAATATTAATTTTACTTAGATAAGACATATTGGAAATATATGAAATTTTCATTTATTTTAAATCACAAAATGATATGTTAGCTAAACTATCATTGAAAATCTGGAAGAACTAAACCAAAATCCTATACTGATAATAATCATGTACGTATTAAGGGTTAGCTTTAAAATGTAGTACTAGTGAGAAGTTGTGATCGTTGGAGTTCAACTATGTCACAAATGATGTAGTTATCTACAACAGGTAATATGAAATGCTAATACAATATCTTAGGTTGATTACAATTAAACATGTACTCTTTTGAATTCCTGCTCAATGATAATGACAGTTGAGTATGGAGTTGCAAAACACCAATTGAATTCTATTCTTTATATCGGGATTGTGAATATATACACTGTTAAGAAGTATCGTACTAGAACGAAACAACTGTCCATTGACGATCTATATATGATTATGAAAAATGTATATTACCCGAAAATTGACATCCTTATGTGATTAATAAGATACGAATGACTAATCCATTAAATATTTCAAAGAACAGTAAGGTCGAATGTGATTTATTATAAAATCTATTAAGTTGATTATTATAACTTGTGGGTTTATGCACCTATCAATGTATAAGGTAAAGATACCACCAATTAGAGAACAGTGACTTATCGACCGGACGAATGACGCGTAAAACCCGTGAGACCAGTTTAGAGTCCTGATTGGTTCTTCTTCCCGCCTAGCCCTTCTTATTGAGTCCAGAACACCAATCTCAACCTCTGCGATATAAATCTTTTAGTTCAAACATACTGGGTTTATATACCAACCAGACAGATCACATCATACCATAAAATAGGAAACAATATTTGTACAAGAATTAGCGAAAATAGGCTGTGAATGTGGGAGACTATAATCAATAAACTGGACATAACTTAAGAATGGTAAATCATATACTAATGGTTCATAGGTTTAAATAAAGCTTATAATAAGAGGAATATGATTATGAATAGTTTAGTCACTTGACAATTATACGATAAGGATATATGTAACGTATTGGTTAATGAATGGATCTCAACAGTACCATTCATTATTCTCATCCGGTCGTGGATGCGCACTGCCAAGGAAGAGTCCCACAATAGGACGAAACGTTCATTCAGTGCTTCCAGATTTTTCATGATGGTCTCCACAAAATCCCTTCTAATATAACATTAATATTTACAAAAATATATCATTATATAATCATACATAGTAGTATAATTGTCAATAGTTATTTTCTAAATATACTATTACGTAATAAGAGATTTAAAGGTTACATACAACTGAATTAGTAAGCATTAGCATAATGGTACTACCATTTCTTTAAGTGATGTATGTATACATATATATATATATATAGTTGAATCTTGATAAGTCCATTGAAAGAATGTATTGACTGTCATATATATTATGTAATGCAATGTAATCGGCATACATAGATATAGATATATATAACGTATATACTATTAAAACTATGCTACAATAATCTTGTTTGAATGTGTTAACCATAAATTACTTTGGAATTTTGTTTTACCAAATGATTGTCAATTTTTCTTTTTCTTGTTTTTCTTGTTTGTTTGTTTTGTTTTTCACTATAAAATGAAATGTGGGTATTGAATTCAAACTGAGTATATTTTATTATATGAATATCAGAATGGGTTTTTTTGTGTGTGTGGATATTATAGTAATGTTTAATAGTTGACATCATGAATCAATTGAAGTTAGATCACTATGGAAAACTTAAAAGTATTGGACAGTTGTTTCGTTCTATTTTGGGCATTTAAGATCTTGTCTCGTGAGATTCGAACCCAGGATCTATCAGTCTTGTGCAATGACTCAATGGTCTAGAGGTGAAGCAGTCTCGCGCGTGAGACCGATATATGCTGGGTTGAAATGTCGCGAGGTGAGATTGTTGATACGCACCGCTGATGAGTTTCAATTATTAAAATATTATGAATTCTTAGAAAAAAAAATTGTACTTCGAAAAGTTTAGAATGTATATGATGATTAGAAGTGATTGAATCGATAATACCAAGATTGGTTAATTCACACTCTAGTAGTTAAGAATAGTTGAGTATTCGAATTAGAAATTGGAAAGTACATATGAACGTAGTATATTTCTCAATTCAAAACAGACGAGGAACAATGTATGAAGGTATTAGTAATTAGTTTAAACATTACAGTGGAATAATCGAGCTCTCTTTAAATTAAACTTTACTTGTGGTGAGAACAGTCATTTCATCATTGTTTCCAATATTCAAATATCTCCAGGAGTCCTCAGAAGTTAGAATGTGTATTTATTTATTTATTAATTTAAACACATAAACATTCGTACAAGAAGGCGTCAGATAGATAATCACCACATAAATCATTCGATTTCTGTGAGGGTTACGATACTACCCGGGTGCTCAAACCGAAGCAGATGGATTCCTTAGGGGACCACATCTGGAGCCTTCGACATAAAGGTCTAATACATAAGGTAGTGGCGCAACTTCAGGAGGCGCAGTCCCATGGTAGCCAGTCGCCAACAATAGTTTCGTATGCCATTTGTTCCCTCAGGATCTTGGAGTCCGTGTGCATCATTGGTTTGGAATGAGGGTTTTGCAACTCCCTTAGATGAATTCTACGTATCCATGAACCCGGTTTAAGCGCTAAACATTAACTTTTCGTCCTCTCAATTTCGTAAACAATGCCCCTGTTACGATAAAGAAGTTAGTAATACTTCCTTGTCAGTGGCTGTATATGCGCTGCCATGTTTGAGCATTTGGGGTGGGAGAGGTGACTCTTACCATTCTCGACATTACCAGGGAATTCGTGTATCCAAATCATGGTTGTTTTGTGTTTTCCCTTAGAATCAAGTGATCAATAGATTATATCACATTCAGCTCATCAAATCTTATTCTTTGAAAGAACTGATAATCGGAAATTCAAGAAATTACACTTCTAATTTACTTTCTTACTCAGTAGGTTGACGATCAGTACGGTCTTGAATTATGTTTTTATCGGTCACGGTCCTC